GACACATATGGCTGAAAAGTCAAATGCCGAGAACTCCGTCTTCGTTGACGAGAAGACGAGTAAATTCTGCCTTGAATGTCTCAAGGATTATTATGCAAACCGAGACTACATTATGGACATCGTGCAGAAAAATATCCGTTTGTTCATCAATCTTGACAGTTGTTATAGACAATGGTGGGACGGAAAAAATTTCTCCATTGACCTTGGATATGGACTTCGCATTGGAATATTCTCTTGTAAATCCAATTTGCATAAGAGCGGACTATTACAAGGGTGATGATGCAATCGTCAAGAATTGCTGGTGGTACATTTCCGAGACAAAAGACCCAATGTACAAATATTCTTCCGCAAGTGACCTCATTTGGCATATGCACGACAAACGGGCAGACCTCCACTACATTCCAGACTATACATCTCCTCGTTCTGCCAATGAATGGAAAAACCCTTTACTGTGCGGCTACTTGGACACGAGAGAAAAACCGAATCATCGTGGACAATTTCAAGAAGGTTCTCGCAGACAAGACAAAGAAGTTCAAGAGTTCAGCAGACACCGCAATGGAAAGCAAGAGGTTCTTGAATTCAAATGTCGGTGAATATGTGAAGGTTGTCGCATAAAGAAAACCAAAACTACAAAAAACCCAGCCTTATGGCTGGGTTTTTTAAATTATGCCGGGCCCGGCCAAATTTCAAATTTGGCCGGTTTTTCGATATTTTTTGAAGTTATAAATATTCATTTTCCTATTGCATTCCACAGAATGATATGATATACTATAAGCACTTGAACGAAAGGAGTTAGAGATGGGATACCGTTATTTGATTGACAGTTGGATTGCCGTAACCGTTGAGGACGTTTTCAATGGTGGAGAAATTGGTGGTGTTTGTGCGTATTGGGACGATAATGGATTCAAGAAATGTCCGCGTGATGGTTTTGATTCCGTGAAGTCCGCATTGGAGTTTATTGCCAAACAGAACTGTTTTGACTTCAGCGTTGATTCTTGGATGAAAGACGATTGTCTTGTTGGAAGATTCTACGGGGATTTTCTTGTTGATGCCGAAAACATGGAAGTCGATCCAAAAAGCAAGATTTACGATGATTGGAAGAAGGGCAAGGCGAAACTTTGGAATTGCCGTATTACTGTTAGACTCATTGCGGTTGAAATTCCCGAACAGAATGATTGAAATGTTTGAAAATTGGAAGTGAGGTGTAGAATGCGTGTAGTGAACTACAATGTCTCTTTTGCCTTCGTTTCAGATGATGGAATGATTGCAGGTGGACTTCCCGAAAAGAAGATGAGTTTTGACGATATCCAGCACACACTTCGTCTCATTTCTCCAATTTCGTCTGTTGAGTGGTCAAATACAATCAAACAACTTCCACGAAATTCCTACACAATCATTGAGGTCAAGGAGAAACTGAATGATGGTCGGGTCATTCTAAAGAAGATAAAGGTTAGACGATGACATTGAATGGAAAAGAATATGAGGACATCCCCTCCCAATCCACCGAAAAGAATCTATGGTGTGTATGAGGAGGGGAAGAGGACGAAGGTAAAATTCGTATGGATTGACAGATACATTAAAGAGCTATCCGGAGGGTGGGGATATGCAAGTGAAATGTTAACCTTGTCCAATTATGGTTCTGTTACTCTAGATGGAAAACCTCTGCGAAATGAAAACGACATAAAACTAGCAAAGGAGATTTTTATGAAATTGGGAGTACAATAATGATATGACATCAATAGAGGAAATAAAAGACGGAATAATAGAAGCCGCAGAGATCAACGAGACGGAAGTCGTATTTCTAGATGGATTTGAAGGTGGACTCATAGGATATCACGAAACCTGTGGAGAAGTCCACGCCGTATACGACGAAGAACAAGATGCTGTCATATTATTGCGTTGTGAACAAATGCTCAATGGAAGAAGCGGTCGAATGGTATGAATTCAATACACTGAGAAGTCTTCCATATATAGATGAGAAGATGCGACCGATCATAATTCACAATCTTAGTTGACTTTTGTTGATTTTTTAAATTATCTGGGGCCCCGGCCAAATTTGAAATTTGGCCGGTTTTTTCTTTGTTTTTGCAATTATAAAAAATGAAATAATTATATTTTGGCTATTGCAATCAACTGAAAGATGTGCTATAATATAGGCGTTCTTGAGGGAACAAGGGACTGATGAGAATGAAAGAAAAAAAATAATTCTCAAAAGCCCTTGACCCGAAGGAAAAAATCTGCTATAATACAAACATCTTAAACGAAACAAAGAAAGGAAAAGTAAAATGGGCAAGAACACGATGATTATGGATTCCAACTGGTTCACCACCGCTGACGGGGGCGAACGATGTTGCATTCATCCGAGACCACGAGGTTATCAATCCGCCATTCGGGGGCGTCACGCGCCGATTTCTTCCGCCGACATTCTCACGAAGTTCCGTGAACGCGCCTTCGCACTTGGGCTTGAACTCGTCAACGAAAAGGCTGGCTTGTTGAAGCGCATTGAAAAGACCGACCGCAAGACGGGCGAAAAGAAGATGGTTGGTGGAGACCGCTTTATGTATGTCGCGGAAGTGAAGGATGATTCCCACCCAGACTATGCGCTTTCTGTTGGCTTCCGCAACTTCGGTGACACCACCCTCTCGTTTCAGGGTATGTGTGGCAACTCCATTTTCGTCTGTAAGAACGGAGTTTGCACCTCTGTTATCAAGCCTAGCAAGATGCGTCATATCACTTCCAATGTGAACACGGAGGGAATGCTCGATTCCAAGATTGACACCATCTTCTCTCGCTTCATTGAGGACAAGGACGATATTGTCGGGCAGATTGAAATGATGAAGCAGACCACTCTCACGGACGCGATTGTCGGTCAGTTCATCAAGAGGGCTAACGGAGAGTGGAAGAAGAATCGTGATGGTGAGGTTGTCTTCGTGAAGAATCCCACCCTCGGTTCGGCGAATCTTCTCCGTATTCTAGCAGACCTTGAAAATCCCGCCTATAATTCTCATACGGACAATTCCGTCTTCCGTCTGATGAATGCCTGCTCCAAGGTCACCACGCACGATATGAAGAACCCTTCGCAGTCCGCAGAGGCTTCGCGGTTCTGCAACAATCTTTTGATGTCCATCATCAAGCCCGACTTCAAGCCCCTCGGTGATGTGGTTGATATTGAGGATGTTGAAGCGGTTGCCGTGGTTGGACTAACCCATTCTAAGACCCTAGAAAATCCCAAGCAAACACAAGCCCACCCCCTATGGGGTGGGCTTATTTTTATCCCCTAGAATTTCATAATTGACAAAAATGGGCCCGGAAGAGCCCATTTTTTAAATTTTCGGGGGCCCGGCGAAATTTCAAATTTCGCCGGTTTTTCGATCTTTTCTGCAATTATAAATAATGATTTTTCCTATTGCAATCCACAGAATTATATGATATACTATAGTCACTTAAACGAAAGGAAACAAAATGAAGAAGTGGATTGTTATTGCGATTGATATCGGTGAAACGACAAATGGTCATTCAACCTTCTGTGGCATCTTCAATTCCCGTGAGGAAGCGGAGACTTATGTCAAAGAGGATATGACCGATGTTCTCAATATGGGTGCTATTGGCACAATGGACGACAATCCGACCGCAGATTGGGTAAAGCACGAAGTGTGGCAACCCTATTGTGAAGGAATGGATGGTTGCGTTTGGGACATTCACGAAATCGAGGTGTAAGATGAGAGCGACTTTCTACGAGAATGGCTACGGAATTGAGAATGACAAGGTTGAGGATAGAGAGGTTGCCTATGAATGGTTCACAGAATCCTACAACCACCATACGGGAATCTTTCCAAGCGAGAAGCAGACACACGATTTCATAAACGGAAAGAGAATTGTCGCAAACGAGCACGGTCTGTATATGGAATGGGAACTTGTTTAAGAAAGGAAATAAAATGAAAGTCTACAATCTGCTGATGGAATCGTTTTACTACGATGGGGACGATTTTGTGATTGAGGATGTCCACACGGAGATTCATTCGTGCAATTCGTTTGAAGTTGCGAAGTCCATTATGGAGAATGCAATTGCGGAGGAACTGTCTGTAAAGTATACCGAGGATATGCTCATCCGCGATGGTGACGATTATGCCGTGTTCAAGGATTCCGTTGGATATGATAATGAAAGAACTCTCTATCGTCTCAGCAATCTACGAACGGGGAATTGGAGGATTGCTAATGAAATGCGACCTTGACAAAATTGTATTTGAAGCGGTCAAGAATGCCATCCTTGACTATAACGAAAAGAATGGAGATAGGTACATTCTTGACGATTGTGGAATGGGGACATTCATAACCGACAAAAAGAGCGGAGATGAATACTGCCTTTCTCTTGACTACGCAGATTAAAACTACGAAAAACCCGGCCTTTTGGTCGGGTTTTTTAAATTATGCCGGGCCCGGCCAAATTTCAAATTTGGCCGGTTTTTCGATCATTTTGGAAATTATGGAAAATGAAATAAAATCATTTTACCCATTGCAATCCACCGAATGATATGCTATAATATGGATATCTTAAACGAAGGAGAGCGAAATGAAAGAACCGATTATCGTCAAGACCCGTCTCAATGACGAGAAGAAGATTGAGGGTAGCATCAGCGACATCTATTCCAAACTCATTCAGGAGTGTGGTCGCTGGACGGAATGCTATAATTCCGACATTCTGTATGATTTTGACTTGGTGAAAAAACTCTTTGACTACGGAAACTGGAAGGATACAAATATCATTCCGTTGAAGAGAATGGTGACGAGGTTTGTCTTCTCAAATTTCGGTTTTCGTCAGTATGGCGTTGATGGTCTTGACTTCATCAACTGCCGTGAGAAAAGGGAATACAGGGCACTTTGGACACTTGAAATCCGCAAGATGAAGAATCCCGAATACTATTGGAGACTATTCAAAGCAGTGGTATCAACGCAGAGTACTAATGAAGATTGTTGACCAAATCTACCGAATCTACTGCTCAATGAAACCGGGTCTTTATTCGGTCTATGAGATTGATGTTGAAGAAAACGGGTTTCCATTGTTTGACTTTGATGATGGTTGTAGATGGGTCAAGAGGGACATCTCCCTTGAGGAATGTATTTTGATTATCAACCTTCGCGGTGGAAAACTTCTTGTAGGTGATAATCTTATTGAACCAAATGACTATTACGAAATGTACAATTCATAAGGAGAACGATATGGACGAGGACACAAAGAAACTGATTGAACTCATTGAGGAAACCATTTCTGCGATTGACACGGAAATGGAACTTGGGGATTATCATTTTGATGATACATTTGCAAGTGACGAAGCGCGTATAAACTACGAGAATTCGGTTGACGATGTTGTGAGGTTGAGAGTATCTCTCCGTGAGCACATCGCCAATATGAGGAGCAAGAACCGATAACTCAAAACTCACAAAAACGGAGCCGAAAGGCTCCGTTTTTTAAATTATGCCGGGCCCGGCCAAATTTCAAATTTGGCCGGTTTTTCGATCAAAAGCTGCAATTATAAATAATGATTTTTCCTATTGCAGACCACGGAAGAATATGATATACTATAGGCACTTAAACGAAAGGAAAACAAATGAACACCGCAGAACTCAACGCGCTCGTAGGAAACATCAAGTCCACCCACGAAAATGTTTGCCATACATCCATTCAACCCATTCTTGACTACTGCATCAAGAAGCACAATGATACCGTTGCACTCTACGATGAGATGAGGGAGTTCATCAAAAACAATCTTTCCGTGTTTGAAATGGGTGGGTGGAAGTCTCGTTCCAGAAACGCCGAATACTACGAGAACCATCAAATCGGGACGGAAACCATCTACAGTTGTGTTCTTCGCGATTTTCATCACGAGAAGTACACAAAGGGTACTAGGATTTACTGGGTTGACGAGGGAATCATCTTCCATTGGAACACCGAAACGGGTTCCGTTGACAAACTCACAGACCTTGAAAATCCCTTTCCGCACGGATATGACCCAGAAAAGAAACTCTTGAACAGTTCTAGTCAGACAAAGGGTTTCAATTTCAAGATGGATATGTGGGAGAAACTTGTAAATCATACTGAATCCTCCGTACAGGTACTCAAGGGAAGGGTTGAAGAAGATTTCGCCCATATGGAAACTGTCTTGAGCCGTCTAACATACTCTCTCAAGAAAATCAATGACAGTGTTATGGAACGGCAGAGGAAAATCGTTTCGGCAATTGACCAAGGTAATGGCAAGAAGACTGTGAAGTACACGATTGAAATCACGAAAATTGAGGATTAAAAAACTCAAAACTCACAAAAACCCAGCCATAAGGCTGGGTTTTTTAAATTATGCCGGGTCCGGCGAAATTTAAAATTTCGCCGGTTTTTCGATCAAATCTGCAATTATGAATAATATTTTTTCCTATTGTAAAACAAAATGATATGTGCTATAATATAATCACTTAAACGAAAGGAACACATTATGAAGTACAAGCAGAATGAGTGGATGGAGATTCACGGCAAGACTGACGAAGGACATATGAGTCTCCATACTGTGAATTTTGACATTGATTGGAATGTCACGGGACTTGAAGTCTCCCATTCCTATAGTTGCACTCTGTCTTCGTCTGGAACTCTCTCTCCCAAATATGTCAATGGCATTGATGGACAAAAGAGATTTATGTTGGAAGACGATATTTCAGTTTCTCTTCTCGTTGATGAAGATTGTGAAATCCCGAAATTCAACATCCGCTTTCCAAGTGGAATCAAGAATCCAAAAATCATTCCATTTGATAAATGGAAGGAAGACTATTTCGTGAACTACAACCGCAGGAAAAAGGATATCCGAGATAAAATCCATTCGTTGAAAATCACGGGTTGTTCGGTCAATCGCAATGGGTTCATAGACCACATTCTGTCAGACGAGGAATCTGAAGTATCGTATGGTTGCTTTGGACGAAATGTGTTCAAAGACCAATGTATCCACATAAAGGACATTCTAATCTTCACCTATGGGATGTGTAGAAGCGACATCTGCGACGAGTGGGTTCCTTCTTGTTGCGGAACTGAATATCACGCATATTTCAATGAAAACTATGACATTGTATATGACGATGATGGTTTGTTCTACATCAACAAGGGTTATTTCAGTTGAGCTGATCAAAACTCACAAAAACGGAGCCGAAAGGCTCCGTTTTTTAAATTATGCCGGGCCCGGCGAAATTTGAAATTTCGCCGGTTTTTCGATCTTTTTGGAAGTTATAAATATTCATTTTCCTATTGCATTGAATAAAATCATATGCTATAATATAGGCACTTAAACGAAAGGAGAAAACGATGCAGATTTACGGATGGCGAGTCTACGAGATTGAGGAAGTTGAAGGCGAGAAGAACGCGGATTGGCTCATTATGTACAATGTCTACAATCAGTTCAAGACACCAGAAGAGGCATATAACGATATGTTCAAGTCTTGGGAGAAGTTCAAGAAGTGTCCCAACTATGATGAAAACAAGGGATATAAATTCACGATTCTTCCCATTGACAAGCGAAACGAATTGTGATATACTATTGTCACTTAAACGAAAGGAGACTAAAATGACCGAGCAGGAGATTGTTGATTTCATTGGAAATGAAATTGGTGATACGGAGTTCATCACGGATATGACATACGATGATTATGACCCCGTTCTTGAAGTCACCGATAATGATGGGAATGTCTTTGAGATTTCCGTTAAGAAAATCAAGTAAAGGGAGATTCAAATGTTCACGATTCCAACAAATCCAGTCAAGATTGACTACGAGAAGGAAGTCGATGATATTTTAAAGGATATTTTCAGCGATTCAAACTTCCTTGGTGGATTGGAGTATTCTTCCCATACTGTCTACATTGAAGACTACAAGTTTGATGGTAATAACAAGAGGAAGAAGATTCATCGTGAGAATATGCCGAATGTCATTTCCAAACTCAAGAACGCTGGCTACTTCTGCCATTATGAATACAACCGAATCAACGGAAACTGCTATGGTTTCACTGTGACGAAGATTCCAACCAAGTATGATATCTAAGAAAGGAAATAAAAATGACTGTTGCTGAATTGAAGGATATTCTTGAGGATATTGAGGATGATGTTGAAATCAAGGTTGCAATCCAACCTAATTATCCTCTTAGGGCTAGGTTGTCGAATGTCTGTCGGGAACTTGGAAAGGATTATGAGAACAAGGCTCTTTGGTTGGCAGTCTCCAACGGAGTCGGCTATGGAGTTCCAAGTGAGGTCTGGGAGTATGACAGAACAAGCGGAGACGAAGACGAATGAGAACCCCTAAATTTTCTCCAAGAGAACGAGATGTGCTCAAGGCACATCTCGTGGAACTCGAGCATTTGAAGAAGACGGAGACCCTAGAATTTCCAGATTTCTACGACCACGAAATCAACGCCATTCGAGATGCCCTAAACGAGTGTGCAATGGACGGCACCGACTAACCCCCTATAAAAAGGAACAATATGCCATATTACATCGTTGTCACGGAATGGTTGTATCCAACGGAATCCGGTAGGGATGTCTGTGATTCATACTCAAACTTGAATACCGCTCTTGAGGAAGCGCGAAAAATCTGTGAGGATGAAGCGAGAACCAATTTCCTTGATGCCACAAAATGCGACCCGACATCCGTTGGAAATCTTGAAAACGATGGCGGGTGTATCGTGACGGACAAGATGGGAATGGAGGAATGGTATTTCTCCGCTCGTGTAATCAAGGTCATTCCACTTCAGTGAAAATGAAAAAAACAGGCCCGACAGGGCCTGTTTTTTAAATTATGCCGGGCCCGGCGAAATTTGAAATTTCGCCGGTGATCCCCTAGATTTTCTCAATTATAAACCCCTAGATTTTTTCATTTCTCCATTGCATTCCATTTTGAAATGTGTTATACTATAGACATCTTAAACGAAAGGAGAATAAAATGGGACTTGACCAATATCTGTATTCCGCGTCCAAGGACAAGTACAGAAAGCACAAGGCAATCGTCAAGACGATTGAAAAGTGTGACAAAAAACTCAACAAGATGTTTGCCACAAAATACAAAAAGGCTTTTGAGGGGTTTCCTCATCTTTCCACATATGTAATTGATGTGGAGAAACTCACGGACGAACAGAACAGACTCTTTAAGGAATACGAAAAGGAAGAATCCACAATCGCCAAAACCTTCAAGTTGAAGTTCAATAAATACCACGAACTTGTTGAAGCGGATGTTGACGAGAATGAAAGTTGCGCAAGATTCCACAACTTCTCCAATGAAATCCATTATTGGCGAAAGAACTGGGTTCTCCACGACATCATCATAAAGACTTGTGGAGACCCAGAGAACGACAATTGCGTTGACATCATTCTCACGAAGAAGAGCATCAATACAATCATCAAGGAATTGAAGAAGAAGCCGTCAAATACCAATGGTTGGTATGATGGTATGTATGACGATACCATACGGGTTTTCCGTGAAGCTCTCCACTTGATGGATGACAAGGATTCCGTAATCTTCTATCATCCGTGGTATTAAATGAAAATCATTTCTCCGTTGCAATACACGGAGAAATGTGCTATAATACAATCACTTAAACGAAAGGAGATAAAAGATGATTGAGGTGTTCAAGAAGTTTCCGCGAAACAAGTTCGACTTTGAGGGTGCGATTGTTCTCTACTCAAAGAATCTTGAGACATTCTACCGAATCTCGTTTGGCTGTGGTGATAACCTTATGGAAGAGGATAGAGCGGAGGGTTATGACGATTATCTTCTGTATGACGCATATTCCTACAATCCCAAGTGCAAGTATACCATTGAGGAAATGAAGGGAATCATCAAGTACAACGATGGATATCTTGACACAATCCACGAACTCGTTGACGAGGATGGTGGGATGATGTTGGTCAAGAGAAGCGACTATATGAATAGCGGAGACATCCGTGACTATCTTGAAAACGCCCTTGATATGGCTGGGTATGGAGTTCCCGTTGGGATGAGCGAGGATGAGTTCTACAAAGACCTTGAACTTGTCTGCATTGAAAACTGAAAGGAGACGAAATGAAGGTAAGGTTCACAATCAAGAAGACATACGAAGTCAATCTTCCCAAATCAATTGCTGAAGATTATTCAAATCGTTTGGACTACATTTCGGCAAACGCATATGATTTGATTGAGAGTGAAAAAGCCGTTGAGATTGGCGAATCCCTTGATGATGTCTGCTGACGGCAAAGGACATAACTAACAAAAACCCGGCCACAAGGCCGGGTTTTTTAAATTATGACGGGCCCGGCGAAATTTCAAATTTCGCCGGTTTTTCGATCAAAACTGCAATTATAAATATTCATTTTTACTATTGCAATCAAATCAAGGATGTGATATACTATAGACATCTTAAACGAAAGGAGCACAAATGAAGAAGGAATTCAGAGTGTGGGTGACGGAAACCTACTCCAAGGCATATGATGTCATCGCAGAGGATGCAGAAGATGCGGAGCAGATTGCCGAGAATCTAGCAATGGACGATATGAAATTGGCGATTCCCGAGAATATGGACGACCGCGAAATCACAGTTGAGCAGGAGGACTAAATGATGGTATGTTGTGATAGTTGTGGGGTTGGAGATGATCTGGAGAATATGTTCTACGGAATAAACGATGAAGGAGAGTCACTCTGTGTTTGTGAATCGTGTTCAGTCAAATTGCACGATGTCGTTGCGGCTAATGACATTTTCAATGCACTAGTCGGAAACAAGTAAGAAAGGAAATTTAAAATGTTTACGCCAATTGACACCGAAATGGACTCCTACGAGAACCTTCTTCTGTGGGATACCCACGAAGTCACAGTCCATCGCGGAAATGACAATGACTGCGAAATTGTGATTCACCCGAACCGAATCGGCAAATGCAAGGTTCGTATGGCGAAATCTCCATATGCCTGTACTCTTCACACTCTTGACGGAAGGGAAATCTACTGCAATCTTGACTGTGAAGAGGATTGGGGAAATGTTGACATTGACAGTCACAACAATGTCAAGTATGGAAACGAGGAAGATGGGTATGCCGAAATCGGTGGTGTGACATACTATGGGACTGACGAATGGATTCCAATGGACGAGTTCTGCCGTGATGTCCGTGATTTCATCGTGTATTACGAATGTTGATTTCCGTTGACAGTTAAAGAACTATTTGATATACTACAACCATCTTAAACAACAAAGGAGAAAAAAATGGCTACTCGTGGACGAATTGGGATTCTTAGGGAAGACGGCAAGGTCGCCTCAATCTACAACCATTGGGATTCTTATCCGTTTGGAGTTGGAGATATTCTCTTCAATCACTACACCAACAAGGACAAGGTTGAAAAGTTGATTGCCCTTGGGGACATCTCATCCCTTCGTGAAGAGGTTGACATTCCAGAGGGTGTGACTCATACATTTGATGACCCCGACACCAATGTCACAATCGCATACGGTCGTGACCGTGGGGAGAATGATACTGAAGCCCGTCTAAACGAAAGTGAAGACGAGTATTGGAATTCCGATATTGAGGAATATGGATATCTCTTCAAGAACGGCAAGTGGTATTTCAAGTGTGCATATTGGGAGGGATGTCCCGAACCGAGGGAACTCACGAAGGATGAAATCAATAGTGACAGATTTTAATTCATAACTCACAAAAACCGAGCCGAAAGGCTCGGTTTTTTAAATTATGACGGGCCCGGCGAAATTTCAAATTTCGCCGGTTTTTCGATCAAAACTGCAATTATAAATATCCATTTTTCCTCTTGTAAAACCAAATGATATGTGCTATAATATAATCACTTAAACGAAAGGAGACTAGGATGGAAGAGATGATTACCGAGAATTACTGCGATTCTTGCGACGGGGTAATACACGCAGTTTTCAACGCGGAGGACTTCTACAACTTCAAGGTTGGACGGATTCGTTGTGAATGTGGAACTGTTGTAGTTCCGTGCAATGAATGTCTTGACGAGAATGGTCAGCACTACAAATGTAGTGAATGTCCTTGGAAGAATGCGGAAATCGTTGACGCTATGACCGACGAGGATTATGTCAAGTGGATTAAAGACAACGAACCCGATATGTTCAAGAGATTTCTTGATTTTTCCAATGGCGACTATTACAGAGAACTTGCCGAAAAAGTCATTGACGAATCCAAGTAAATGTGATATACTATAGTCAACTTAAACGAAAGGAGACATTATGAAGAACTACTACTGCGTCACATATCTTGAGACGGATTGTGACGGAAACACCTCTTTTGGCAATGTCGGTGGAATGATTTACGAAACCGAAGCGGATGCGATGAATGCCTTGAAGAATGACATTGCGGAATATCTTGAAATGTACAATATGCCCAAGGACTACAAGGTAGACCACTTGGATGGTACAAATCATTGGGAGTTTATTCATTGTACGAATTTGAAGATGGAATGGGAGATTCAGAAGATGAACAATTCCCTTGAGTTCAACGATATCGAAAAGGACGAACCCGAGAAGAAGTTTTCCGTCTGTGTCCATTGGGCACTTGAAAAATACTACGAAGTGTCGGCAAAGGACGAGGACGAGGCGGTGAAGAAGATTCACAATCTCATCAATTCTGGTGAGGTGAATGTCTACAAGGACGGGTACGAAACCTGTGATGACATTGACATTTTTTCGTGTGGCGAAATCTAATCTGGAGATTGAAGATGATTGAGGAAATTGAAGTGGAGAAACTTATTTCCAAGACCGAAGTCAAGGATGACATTGATGTTCTCATCAATATCATATGTCAACTTGTAGACCGTCAGGACGAGGAAATCCTCGCCGACGAAGGACGGGTCACAACCCAGATTCCCGATCCGTCCATTCACTGCAAATACTGGGAGTCATTTGGAGTCCCAGCCATTATCACGGCAATCGAGAAGAAATATGCCAACGCGAAGAAGATGGATATCCCAAAGGAATTTCTGACTTCGTACTGAAACCACTTGACCAACCCCTAAATTTTTGATATACTACCTTCCAAGAAAGGAAACCAAAATGAGCGATTACAAGCAAATCACCGTCAAGGATATCATTGATTTTGTCAAGGGAGACCCTAAAACTTTCCCCAAGGGCCTGGACACTCCAGTTCTAAGTGGGGACATGGAATGCAACTACACGCACGGAAAACATGAAATTCAGTTCATGAAGAAGGATGATGTCCTCAAGGAGAATGTCGTGTGTCTTGGCTACGAGATGCATGAAAACATCTATGAATAGGCCCCTATGATTTTGGAGATTTAAAATGGTGATGTATTTGGCAAAGGCGTTCCGAAACAACGAAACGACCCCCTATTTTTCCAAGAAGTTCACATCGCAGGAAGAGGCCGCAGCCTATATGGTCGGGGTTGTCCTAAAGGAACTTGGGGATGGCGACGGAGAAAATGGTGGCAAGGGGAGCCTATACAATTGTTCGTTGGATATCTTCTATAGTTTGAAGACGAATGGCAATTACTATTACGCAGACTGCAAGTTCATCATTGAGAAGGAAGACATTGCCTATGTTGTCCACATCGGCCCCTATGGAGAATCTTCCGTCGTTGAGACAAATATCTTCCGTTACAAGGACAATATGCAAGACTGGGTTGACAAGACCACCGAAGAACTTGTAAACGATGGTGTCATTCCATGTGGAGATGTTCTCCCGTGGAACTACCACACAGTGAATCTCGCAAATATCATTTCGTAAATCCAATCCTTCGTTTAAGTTCAAATCCGCGCAGAAATGCGCGGATTTTTTAAATTAAGCCGGGCCCGGCGAAATTTCAAATTTCGCCGGTTTTTCGATCAGAATTGCAATTATAAATATTCATTTTTACTGTTGCAATCCAATCAAGGATATGATATACTATAGACATCTTAAACGAACTGAAAGGATAAAGCAATGGATATCGCCAACATCTTCGCAGAAGACAACGGAATCAACCGAATCAAGACCTTCGGCTAATTGGGGCAAGTGACGGGGCAACATACGGAATCAATGAATTTTATCTTGAGAAGATCAACAATCCGTGCATTCTGATGATGGGTGAATCCGTCAAGGAAAATCTTCTTGACAAGGCTCAGTATATGTATGATTTCTGCAACATTGAAGTTGAGTGGGATGAAGCAATCGGCTGGAAACACGATTACAGAATCGGCGACCATGCCCTTGAATCTGTGGCAAAGGAAACAGAAGACCGTATTCTCAACCTCATCAAGGACATCAACGAGAATCCCGAAAGATTCTTCGAGTGTGTACACAATCCCGATACAACCAAGAAGACCTACTATTGGGTTTGTAATTCTGATGATGGTTATTTTGAGAATAGTCTAGTTGATCACCATCAATCTTTTGACAACCAGGAGGACTGCTACACCGATATGATGCAAAGCGCGGTTGAAAAGATTAAACATTTCATTCAGTTCAATGATGTCACAGATGATGTCTGCGGAGTCTACAACGAAGGCGAATTCATCAAAATGCGCGAAGAGGAAGTTTCAAATGGTGAAAAGTTTGAGAACGGTGTCCATTGTTCTCTTCGGTGTATGCCACACAAGATTGTCACGGATTCTTATGGCGGTGTCTACACCTACGAGATCAAGACGAAAACCGTTGACAAGTAAAAAGAAATCTGCTATACTATAATCATCTTAAACAAACAAAGGAGAATTAAAATGGGTCTTGATATGTATCTCTATCGTATGAACAAGTCGCAGAAGTCTCGTTTGGACGAAATCGACAAGGAGTTCGAGAACCACAACGAGAAGTGGACTGAATTCTACAACAACATCCCCACACTTGACAACGGATGGGAACCCGACGAGTCCAAGATGACCGATGAGCAGAAGAGGCTTGAAAAGGAATCCCGTGACGAATATCGCACAATCAATGACAAGTATTCGGAAATCTCCAAGGAAATTCGTGAAGCCTACGGAGACGCCGACAACGAGTATGGGTACGAAACAATCTATTGGAGAAAGTTCAATGCGCTCCACGGATATATTGTCGAAAAGTTCGCAAATGGGGTTGACGAATGTCAGGACATTCATCTGACCGTGGATGACCTAAAGACAATTCTCAAGGCACTTGAAGACACCAAGAGAATTCTTGATGGTTGCAAGAAGGAAAAGAACGAGCGTGACGAGGAAGTCTTCATTGTTCCAAAGACGACGAAGATTCCCCTCCGCCCCCGTTCCGGATTCTTCTTTGGCAGTATGAACCTTGACGAGTGGTTTTATACTGATGTTAAAACCACAATCAAGTCCTTCCGCAAGTTGATTGACAATTTCAATCCCGAGAACGAGGTCGTATTCTATCGGGCCTCTTGGTGATTTTCGCTCAAGTTCATTCGTTTAAGTTCAAATCCGCGCAGAAATGCGCGGATTTTTTAAATTATGTCGGGCCCCGTATAATTCAAAAAAACCGGCCAGAAGGCCGGTTTTTTGTCAATTATGAAAAATGAAGATTTCAGTTGACACCACCAATCCAATATGATATACTATAGGCACTTAAACGAAAGGAATGCGGTATGCAGAATTGGAAGATGACCTTGCAGGAGAGAAAGAACATCCGCGATACGATTGCGGACAATCTCTTCGGTGTTATGAGCGACGATTATGTCGAAAGGGTTGCCGACGCAATGCTTGACAAGGTGGTCGAGGATGTAGAGGCGTGTGCCGACAGAGAGTGGAACTACGATGATGTCCGACTTGCGGTTGGTAGGGTTCTGTGCGACAGTTTTGGCGTTGAACACTAAGGAGGTTGAATATGGAAAGTCCCGAAATCATTGCCGAAAGGGTTAGGGGTTGGGCTTCTCAAATCACTTGGGACGAAAACGACACCCGAACCGACGCGAATCTGAATTTCAAGGTCAAGGGCATAACAAGTGGAAACACTCTTTCCTTGATGAACGCCATCTGCGTAAGTTCAAAGGACGAGATTACGGAGGATGTGATGAAGAAGGCAATTCATCTCATCGCGGAATCCCTTTTCAAAGACACCTGTCAAATCTGGAACTACGGGTGGAAATGGGTGGAGTTTGAGAACGACAACTGGGAAAAAGACCTTATGATTGAATGCTTCGCATATGTCCATCTGTCTGACGGAGACGATGAGATTGACGAGGATTCGGGTCTTTACGAGGAATAGGAAAGGAGATTTAAAATGTCAATGAGGGCGAACATCGCAGAGGTCAAGGTCGAGTATCCGCACGGTTCAGTACTCTGCGTTGATACCACTGCTT